TGGGATAGGCAAGCCTCCGTTTTCTGACCTTTGGATTTAGGAGACAAAGCCTTAAAGCTAAGAGTGGACCAGCCTCCTTCAAACTTGCTGAACTGTTTGGTAGCCGGTAACCAGAGGGAAGTTGGAGTGTGACTTTTTTTTAAAATGTCAAACCCTTGGCAATTTTGTCTGGATTACCTATGGTCCATAAATTAGCAAAGAACTACCTATGTCATGTGGATGAGACAATGGCTGGAAGAAGTAGAAAGAAATGGACTGTAAAATAGTAATAAATCCTGAGAACTGTTTATGAAGTTTTAGTGGCTCCACTTCAGTGATGGACCTTAAATGTTGATGCATCATAGTCAGAGCTGGAACTTTTCTTCAGGATGGACCTATTTATACATCTCCAGATAGCATATATTTATTTTATATATTTATTTATTAAAGAGTTTATTTTTTACTGGGATATGAAGAGAATACAAGCCCCTAACCCCAATGAGAAATCATTTACAGTGCCAATATTTACTCTGAGTAGTGTCACAATACAGAAATGGCATTACATTGCAATGCATCCAAAACCTGAACGTTCATATTTCATTGTCTATCAGTTACAGATAAGGTTATATTTTATGCACATACCATTGCCTTGTGTCTATCCTTATTTTGGAAAGAATGTTTCATTTTTATATTTTTTTTTTTTGGACCTATGAGAGTGCCTTACAAATCTGTATTGAATTCAAATGCACATTTAAAAATGGAATTAAAAATTATTTCAATTTATTTGGTTTACTGTCCTTTTTAAACTGTCTCTTAAGACAGTATGTGTAACGTTTCAAACTTGCAACAATTGTGAAGTGTATACTGCAGTTAACTTGAAAGAAAAAGTAGTATTAGCTCCTGAAATAATTTGATTCAAATCACAACATGCTTGTTTTTGGTTTTGTTTTTTTGTTTTGCCAAATGGTTCCCACTGTCTTTAACACAGAAATAACTACTCTCTGTATTACTGAAAATTTTCAGGTAGGATTCTCATCACTATATAAGGTATTTTATTTGTATACCCTATCATGTTTAGGGGGAATATGTATCAAAGTAAGAAGTTTCTGATACTGCTGAATGAAAAGCTTTTGTGAGTGAAGGTTGTTTCTCCACTGAGTACAGAGGAGCCTAAGGAGACTGCCTTCTTATCTTATTTCGTCCTTTAGGGAATAATCTCAGCATAAGATTTTGTGTGAAGACTGTCAGGACAAAGATGACTTATGTCTCTATGCTAGTTACAGCTATACAACAGGTAGATCACACTAATTTGCACTAATTTAATTCAAGACTGTCGGTTATGAAGCATAAACTTATCTGCATGTTGACTAACGGGGAAGTCTCTGCTCTCTGTAAGAACACCAAGGGTTAATGACAGACCCTCTATGATTTAGACCTAAACCTGCTGAAGCTTGCTGTCAGGTGATTGCCACCTCCACAGGAAAGGTCGGTCCAGGAAAAGGACTGCAGGAAAGGCAGTCCGAGAGAGGACAGCAGTATATATACTGCACCAGAGGTGGTCTCATGTTTCAGGTCCCAACACTCCCAGTGGGCTCCAGCTCAAAATAACTCATTTGAGCTCAGTTTTGTGGCAGTATATACGGTTCAAGTACTGCATATGCATCATTTATGTTAAATCAAGGTATTAACAAAAAGCATTTTTCTGTATATAACACACTTGCTAGAGCCATCACTGTACCAGAAGTTCTTCCAATCTACAATGAGAAGTGGATGAGCATAGATTACTGATGGGACTGTGGACAAAATCATTTTACTTTCTGCCAAATAGAAATTGAATAAAGATACACAAAAAGGAGTTTTCAGCACTTTGTGACTAGTAACATGTAACTTACTAAGGTTAAAGGCTTCGTTAAAATTTTCTGAAAAACAGGCAGTGGAAAATCTGCAGTGCACTGAATACAGTTTAGTAAAATAATGTTGTAATGCACTTCAGCTTACCATAAAGTAATGATTTTATGGGTGACACTGAGTCCCATTAGATCAATAACATGCCAATATTTAGATACATGCCAATAATCCTTGAACAAAATGCAGTGGAGCAGGTACAGTGGTGATCTATGACTGTTCAAAACCTCCAGAACATTGAAAAGCTGTCACAGCCTCCTTTTGTAGGTCTGGTGTATTGCCATTGAGGAAAGATACTGTGTTTTCCCATTTCATTTTGCTTGCAGCATTTATTAGCTTTCTGTTACAGTCTGTCCATTGTGGTCTTCAGATGCGGTTAATGTTGTTATAGCTTGAAAATGGCAGATGCAAAAGCAACACCTCAGAACAACTGTTTTCATATGTCATTAGACTAAGTTGGTGATTAGTTTTTTTGAGTGGTTTTTCGCTCCCACTTCAGAAAGCCCAGCTGAATACAGAGGGAGAGGTTGGTTCTATTTAACCAGTAGAATTAATGATCTCATTTACCACTCATTACATTTTTCATAACCGTATCAATCTGAAAGCTGTGGGCTGCTCTAATGTCATGAAGAGGGTAATCTGAAGGAGGTGACATTGTTCAAGGTTCAGAGGAAGTTGCTGAAGGCAGAGAAAATATCACATCTTGAAATAAATCCCCGCATGATTGGCTGCCCTATTTCTGCCTTTCCTCTTTCCCAGGGAAGGAGGACCATTTCAGGTAGTTATGCAGTTTGTATAGCAGGTGCAGCTCCACTTTCTGCTTCCTACTGATTCTCCTAGTAGCTGTAAACTTTGGCCCTTTGATCTCAGAGCTGTGTGGAAATTGAGTGCTCCATGCCAGTTCTGTATTTCTTCACATATTTTGTTTTCTACTGCTCTCTTTTCCAAGTTGTGTCAGAAATACTACACTAGCCATACAGGAGATTTTCTGTAATCCGAGAGTAACCTTGACTTCTAAGCATATTTGAAATGAAATTGTTACTTTTATTAATCTTTGTGCTCTTGGCCAGAATGCAAAAGGTAGAATTAACGGTCTTCCATGGAAATCTTCCAGCTATAATAGTAAGAGGATATAGGAGAACCCAAGTGCCTCTGGAAATCGGTATTTTTTATTAGAAGAGCTTATGTAAGCAGAAAAAGTGGACAGCTAGTCTAAAAGGCACACAGTCCTTTCATTGATCTGAACCATTTGTGTTTGTGTGGAGCAGTTTTGTCCCATTTGTACCATTTGTATCATCCCGTTTTCTGTCATAAGCTTATCAATATTATCTTTCATGCTCAGGTGTGACAGCCAGCTTCACTGATTCTATCTGAAAGCTGAAATCACTGATACGGCCGTGCACTCTGGTAGCACTCCAGGGTTGTGCAGAATTTACTTTCTGACATGTGAGTGTCGTTTAACAAATACATTGTCCTAACAGCTTTCATTTCCAGCTGTTTTCATTTCTTGATGTGCTTTGTTAACTCTTTTTTCATAGCCATCCAATCTTGCTTCAGTAACTTTGTGAATTTTTACTTAAACACAGGTCTTTACCAGTAGCTATATGAGCTATGGGTGTGTCCTGGTTCTGGCTGGGATAGAGTTAATTTCCTTCCTAGTAGCTGGTACAGTGCTGTGTTTTGGATTTAGTGTGAGAATAATGTTGATAACACACTGATGTTTTAGCTGTTGCTACATAGCGCCTATCCTAAGTTAAGGATTTTTCAGTTTCCCGTGCTGTGCCAGCGAGGAGGTGAACAAGAAGCTGGGAGGGAGCATGGCCAGGACAGCTGACCTGAGCTAGCCAAAGGGGTGTTCCATACCATAAACATCATCCTCAGTATATAAACTGGGGGGAGTTGGCCGGGGAGGGGATCGCTGCTCAGGCATCCGTCAGCAGGTGGTGAGCAATTGCATTGTGCATCTCTTGTCTTTTCTTGGGCTTTATTTCTCCCTCTCTTTTTGTTATATTCCTTTTCATTACAATTATTATTATATTTTTTTATTATTATTGTTATTATATTTAATTTTATTTTAGTTACTAAACTGTTCTTATCTCAACCCATGAGTTTTACTTTTTTTTCTGATGCTCCTCCCCATCCTACTGGGAGCGGTGAGGAGTGAGTGAGCGGCTGCATGGTGTTTAGTTGCTGGCTGGGGTTAAACCACAACAGGTGTGATTATTTTTTGGTTTTTTTTTTTTTTTCCAGTTTATGGAATCATACTAGTACCACTGTACTATGGCTCTAGTTATACAATCGCAAGCCATTAGGTTTGCCTTATTCCTTTTTCTGTACAGCAAAGAACTAAATAGAGGTAAGGCAGTTTTATATACCATAAATGCATCTTCACTGTTGCCTTAATGTACTGGACCAAGCCTGTGTCATATATCCTGAGAACACTGTGGTGAGACGCTTAAGTTTTGCTCCATACTCCATGGAGATGCTATCAGTAAGGAGACCTTTTGGAAACCTCTGCATTTGCTCTTTTTGCTTTTCATGTGAGAAAAACTATTGACTTCACTGCTGTTAAATTCTCTTCAATTATTTGGTGAGGTTTTTTAGTAGCGCAACCATTTGAAGACTCAAGTTGAACATAACAACAGCTGCATGATATCAGACAGTCTGCATCTCCACTGCATGGGGAAGAGAGTAAGAATAAGACAGGTGTTTATTCTGGGCTTTCATCGTAGAACCCTGACTAGGATTAGCACCTGAAGTCAATTCTCCTCTGGTTCATTTCCTTTTATGAGGCAGAAAAGTGAAGTAAACATTTCAGAATTCTACACTTCCTGGATGTCTGAATCAACCTGCACTTTATCAGACATTTCTCTTAAAACGATTTCCTTTGCAGTAGTATATTCAGGCATTGTGGTGAAATCGTTGCTGTTGGTGTACTCAGTGTCAGTGCACATCTGGATGTACATGTGCTTGTCTCAGTATAAGGCAATAAATACATTGCTAGAGAGAGA